ACTGAAAAAATCAATTCCTTAATGGCCGAGGTGGAGAGTTTGAAGGTACTTTTTAGTAGGGAATATTTCATCACTATATGTATTTTAAAGTGAGTTGCAAATCTATATAATGCATGCATTTTAGCCTTTATATACCAAAACAAAATATCATTGGAACAATGGCAAAGGAACGAATAGAATATGCGAATCTCTTGAAAGAAAAGAAAGATGAGATAATTAGTCGTTGGGAATAACGAAAGAGAAATCCGTTAGGACTGGACTCTGGTGTCCACCGAATGGGAATTCCGGATCGAAGAAGAGGTACATCTAAATACGGTGTAGAAAAACCTCAATCACCGCACCTAATTGATCAAAAAGCTCGCGATGAGTGGCACAGGCTCTTTTTTTATTTCTAGTGTTCGTTATGGTTTAGGAGTTCAGTTGAACTAATGGTGACGAGGTGAGGCTGATTGTTATTGTGCTATCATAAGAGAAATAAGCTAGTCACAGTGTGCTCGATCTTGCAATCTTGGACAATCCGAGGAAATATAATGGGGGATAAGAGGGTATCGGATCTGGGGTTGGTCATTGGTAAATTTTTCTGTATCTGTCACTGCTTTATAAGATCATTAATTCTTTTTCAATGGCAAAGTTTCTTCAATTTTTTTTCTCGAATCTCGAGGATACTCTAACCTGGAGATTTACAGGCTTTGCTGCTGTCAGAAAAAAAGACGTCCGAAGAGGCTAGAAAAGCTTGTACAGATGCTGAAGCGAAAAATGTGGAGCTGACTAAAAAACTTCAAGATGCAGACCAAAAGGTCGATCAACTTCAGGAGTCGGTGCAGAGGTTCGTAAGAGATTAAATCTTTGCCTCTATTTTTTATTTATATCCAATTGAGTTTCGATACGGTATTGTGCTACTTTAATATGCCTGGCTCGGCGTATTTCTTTTTCTGGTGGTGTCAACTCCGGTCACGTGATTCATTCTCTCGACTGTACAAAATTTCTTATATATGCAATAAAATGGAACTATCTTCTCTACATCAGGCTTGAAGAGAAGCTTTCAAATTCAGAATCGGAGAACCAGGTACTTCGTCAGCAAGCCTTGACCATGTCGCCAACAGGAAAAGCTTTATCTACGAGACCGAAGTCCGTGATCATTCAGGTAGAATGTGATGATATTCATATGATACATTGATCTTTTCAGATAAAATATGAATTCTGAGAAACCCAACCAATTTTTTGTTGAAATTTCAGAGGACACCAGAGAATGGAAACATTCCACATGGAGAAGCCAAAGTATCATCTGTAAGATAAATTAATTTTTATGATAACAAAAGAACAATTTCGTATATCTTAAATTGTACACGTTGCATATCAGGATACAACTCTAGCATTATCGACGATACGTGAACCTGAATCAGAGGAAAAACCACAGAAATCGCTTAATGAAAAGCAGCAGGTAAGAAGAAGAAACCTGAGAGCAAACGTGTTCTTCTTGATGTTCGAGATTAATTAGTTTGTTTCTTGTGACGGATTATCGTGTTCAGGAGAACCAAGACCTGCTAGTGAAGTGCATAACACAGGATTTGGGATTTTCTGGAGGCAAACCAGTTGCTGCTTGTGTTATATACAAATGTCTTCTTCACTGGAGGTCATTTGAAGTCGAACGAACCAGCATATTCGATCGAATCATTCAAACAATAGCTTCATCCATAGAGGTGAGATGCAATGTTTGCTTCTAAAGCATTTACACTGTGACGCTCGTCTCGTAATCGAGATAAATGAAAGTCATCTACATATCATTGACACGTGTAGTTTTCACTCTGCTGAAGGTCCAGGATAACAATGATGTATTAACTTATTGGTTATCGAATACGTCGACGTTATTGTTGCTTCTTCAACACACTCTCAAAGCAAGTGGAGCTGCTAGCTTGACCCCTCAAAGAAGGAGAACTGCTTCTTCTTCTCTTTTTGGAAGGATGTCTCAAGTACAATAACTATCTATATTCTTTCAGGCCTTTATACCTTTTGTTATTCCGTCTTAATCACCTCTCGTTTCTGCTCTGCACGTTATAGGGATTAAGAGCTTCTCCACAAAGTGCTGGACTATCATTTCTAAGTAGTCGGGGGCTCGGTAGGTTGGATGATTTTCGGCAGGTCGAGGCAAAGTATCCAGCACTGTTGTTTAAGCAACAGCTTACAGCATTCTTGGAGAAAATATATGGAATGATAAGAGACAACCTAAAGAAAGAGATCTCGCCTTTACTTGGATTATGTATTCAGGTAGCTATCAAATCTTATCATTCCTCCAACAATGGATATTACTGTTGATAGAACGATAAAGAAACAGCTGTTAGAACGTTATGTCGATGAGCGGAGCTTCATTTATTCATTTCAATGCAGGCTCCTAGGACGTCACGAGCAAGCTTAGTGAAAGGACGCTCCCAAGCTAACGCTATTGCTCAGCAGGCCTTAATTGCTCATTGGCAAAGCATTGTAAAAAGTTTAAACAATTATTTGAAGATCATGAAAGCAAACTATGTGAGTTTTTGAGTTCTAAGTTTTAACAACATATATTAACATCTATCATCTTTATAGTTCGTATAGCCGCAATCTTATGGCCGATTTTGTCAGGTTCCTCCATTCTTAGTCCGCAAAGTCTTCACTCAGATATTCTCGTTTATTAACGTTCAACTATTCAACAGGTAATGTATTCATACTCGACATTTTGCAATTGCATCAAGTATTTACAGGCCAAATGTCGATTTTTTTCGCTTCCAAAAGTTTAAAACGTCAATTTAATTCGTTCTGCAGCCTTCTTTTGCGACGCGAGTGTTGTTCGTTCAGCAATGGAGAGTATGTCAAAGCTGGCTTGTCTGAATTAGAACAATGGTGTTCTGGGGCAACTGAGGAAGTCAGTAATCAGTGATGTTTAGTTTATTCTCTTAAGATCATTTATTTGCCGTTCCTAACGACCTCGTCCTGTACAGTATGCAGGCTCGGCTTGGGACGAATTAAAGCATATTAGGCAGGCTGTTGGATTCCTTGTAAGATTTGTCGATAACCTCGATTCTTCTATTATCTACGACTTTCTGTACCTTATTTATACGAACTCTTGTCCTTCTCAGGTCATACATCAAAAACCGAAAAAGACGTTGAACGAGATAACTAAAGACCTATGTCCTGTTAGTGCTCTGCTTCTTTGTCTCTTGTTTTGCAAATGGTTACAGCCTTTAATCCATATTATTCTATATGCTGCTTTTCAGGTGCTTAGCATACAACAGTTATATAGGATCAGTACTATGTACTGGGATGACAAATACGGAACGCATAGTGTATCCTCGGAAGTACGTTAACTTCATCGAATTGGTTCTCTCTTAACTTTTGAATTACTGTTTCGTTTGATTCTCAGGATACCACTGTTGAATTCATTCTCTCTCAGCTTTTGAATTACTGTTTCGTTTGATTCTCGGGATACCCTCGTTGAATTCATTCTCTCTTAGCTTTTGAATTACTGTTTCGTTTGATTCTCGTCGACTTGGTTCTCTCTTAGCTTTTGAATGACTGTTTCGTTTGATTCTTGAGATACCTCCGTCAATTCGTTCTCTCTTAGCTTTTGAATGACTGTTTCGTTTGATTCTCTGAATTCCCGGATTGCTGTACCTCCAATTATCTTTATTCTGATACCACTTTTCGAAGAACAGGTTATTTCGAGTATGCGAAAACTGATGACCGAAGACTCCAACAATGCTATTAGCTCATTCCTGTTAGATGATGACTCTAGGTATAATCTTCATTCAAATTGCTATAGCCTGCCAGTGAATTATGTATGGTTTGAGTTCCATTATTTTGATCCTGCTTCTTCTGGATTCAGTATCCCATTTTCAGTGGATGATATCTCCAAATCAATGAAACAAGTAGACGTAACAGACATCGATCCTCCACCGCTGATACGAGAAAACTCAGGGTTCGGGTTTTTGCTTCAACGTGCAGAGTAGTAATGCCTATGTGATCACGACGATCATGGTGAAAAACTTACATCAAGTGTTCCTGTGCATATACTCATTGTTTATCACCATTTCATGTGTATAGTTCTTATCGAATTCCATCGACCCAGCGACCGAGTTCGGATGGTCGTCTGGGTTGAATTTATTTTGCCTCTCGTGTCATATCGACACAGAGAGGGGTCTTTGTCTAGAACCCATGTTCCCCAAGTGTGATCATGGGTTCAGAAAAACATCACCTTTGCAGTGGTATTTCTTATATTCATTTGGTTTTTTTTCCATGGGTCTTATAGTTTTAGAGGGCCTCTTTTTTGGGTTAGCTTATGGAAGCATTTGTATTTAGTGTGATGTAATTTTCATTTTTTTTTTTTAAATTTTCAAGTATTTGGTACAGTATTTTGTGTTCTTGTTGCTCATATTTAGTACTTAGGCACCAAGAATAAAGAAGCTGGCAACTATTATCATATTATTCACATCTATTACTATTTTTTTTTAATTATTTTAAACCCTTAGTATTAAGATGTTTTGGCATTTAATTGAATGAAAATTTATTTTCATTTAAATGCCGGGCTGAATCCCGACAAGGAAAGTCCAAAGAGGATAATATCTGCTAGCGGTAGGCTTCGATGGAAAATATATATTCTTTGTAAGCATGTGAAAACCGGTAACCTGATCCAAATTTCGGGTTGTTGAGTTGTGTTGGTAACCTAAACAACTCAAATCAAGTTCACAACCCAACTGAATTGTCAATTCCAACGTATCACTAATATTATTTACAAACGTTAAATATTCTTAATTTTCATAATAATATTTAAAATAAGATGGAGTGCGGTTTTATTATAACTCTCTTTTCAAACCAACTCGAATTTATCAATTTCTAAAAACTTAACCCAATCTAAATCGAAAAAATTATAACTCTAACACAACTTTCATGGATCAGGTCGTTCGGGTTGAAGGAAGTTAACTTCTATTGAATTTTGTGAAATAATAATAATAAGTTCCAAAGACACAATGAAGGTAAAAGCACATCATAACTTCTGTCCCTTTCTTCTCAATCAAATTCCCAATTCAACAAAAACATCAAATTGAGAATCAAAGGCAAACAGCATTTGATTTCAAATGCATAATACATAAAAACAAAAATTTGGCTTCATTTTTTTTTCTATTTGCCTTGGAAATTATCATACAACTAAAATTAGTTGCAGTCTTTGATAGAACACATCAAAGGGCACTCTCAGACTCTGCCATACAACCCTAAAAACCAAAGAAAAGACCCAAAAAAAGAGGCCTACAAGTGAATATTTGATTACTACAGCAGCACATTCCACTAGCTCTGATGATTCTTCTCTACTGCAGCCAACTTCTCAGAGAAGAGACGACAGGGAGCTTGTAGTTCCTGGATATGCCACAATCAATTTGGAGAAGAACACACCAAATCAATATAATTCTAAACCCCATTTCCCAGCAACTCATCTACTGCCAAAAGCTGAAACCAGCAATAACAATCCGTAAACAATCAAAGACAAAAGGGTTAAAGCTTGCGTCGGTTCCTGCTTCCAGAAACACGAAACAATGCGATACCAAAAAGGAAATGTAATGGGTAATCCAAGGTTCAGAAATATGGATGAATGGCAAAAGAACAGTTCAATGCTTATACTCAAGAGTCTGGTTATCTTCATTCCACAAAATATGGTGAATTGTGTTAAGTGTTTCTAAGATTCAGAAATGTGGATGAATCTAAAAAGAACATGAGTATGATAATCAACCAATCTTTTCTTTATATTTCTTCCATTTGAATGATCTATCATGCTCTGTTTACTAGAAAGTTGAGGGAAAGAAGTTTCATCATCAGGTATGTAGAAAAACTCATGGAAGAAACTTTTTTTTTTCTTAAATAAGAAAATTGTCGAACCTTTGTCGTCTCCTGATGATTCACTTTCTCTATTATCCAGTACATTCTTATCAAGGAACTGCTGAATTGTTCTCCAGTAATGATCACCACCAGCTAACCAAGTGTTCATATGCATGCCGGAGGGAAAGTCGACAAAGAGACAACGGTTGTTATGAGCAGCTGCTTTGGCATACAGCATCTGCATGTGGGTTGGGGGAACCATCTCATCTTGTAATCCAGATAAGAAAAGAATTGGCTGCTTAATCTGCAATGATATGATTTCAAAGAGAGCTAATTATAACTAAAGCAAGCAAATAATGCCAATAAGATTAAGAAAGTATGTTCTTTTTGTCAAAAAAAACAAGTTTTGGATCACTGTTGTTTAAGCCTGACCTTGCCAACTACGTCGATGGTGCTCCATGGAGAACGCACAAGAAAATTGAGAACCTTGGGACCTCTTGATCCAGGGCCTCCAATGAACCACTTTAGAAAGGGTAGCAAAACTCCAGCCATATCCAAAATTGATGTAAAAGTATTTTCTAATATCAGTGCGGCAACCTGCAATTCAGAATCTGGTAAACAAACAACAAAATGCAGAATAAAAGGCACAAAAAAGTCAAAGAAGATCTATTTAACATATCCTAATGTAGGTTATAACAGTAAAAGATCCCTTCCAACACTGGACATTGAACATTTTGATTGTAAAAAACCGACCGTACCTTGTCAGGGTTATTTTTGGTAAGAACAGCTCCAACTGCACCCCCAAGTGACCTTCCGAACACTATTATTCTAGATGTGTCAATATCAGTCCTTTGAGAAAGATGATCCAATGCAGCCTACTCAAGTAAAGCAAAATCGTAACGTTTTTAAGTACTCTTGTTGAAAAGACAGAATAGAAAAAAGAATTAAAACCGAAGCACACCTGAGCATCTCGAGTAATTCCGTGCTGAGAAGGATAACCATCACTTGCTCCATAACTGCTTGAGGTCATAGGGCATCAGTGACCATTTCATTAAAGTAGCAGCAGTATATATCAATGAACATATTACTGCTGAAATGTATTAAAAGAACAAAGGAAACACTTGCCACATTTATGTAAAATAACATACCCTCTATATGAAAGCATGAAAACATTGCACTGTAACCTTTGTATCATGATGCGAACCATTTCAAGACGATGGGCAATGTCTAGAGCAGGAAGTCAAGGTAAAAAAATAGTTATTGAACCCAAGAAATCATCGACGTATTAATAATTTTTGCAGACAATTATTTTATTTAACCAACATTATGAACGAAATTCTAATCTAGGAAGTATGAATATTCAAACGAGCTAGAAAATCTAGCTAAAAAGAATTTTCTCATGTCTAGTGTCCACAGAGATAGTCATAACAATCAGGATACTTCCAGCATTCTCTTGGAAAAAAAGGATGGTAGGACCTGCAAAACAGTAGCACCACAATGTAAGTCTTGAAAAGTTACCTCACATTAAGGTACATACGGAAGCCCAATGAGGGAAAAGAAAAGTAAGAAGCAGAGGACAGTAAATTATGCTGTCGGAGACTCGGAGGGGAAAAAAACAAACAAATATACAATTAATAAAAATAACCAGGAAAAATTACTGATTCCAGACGCGGCGGGGTATCAGGAAAATTGAAGCCATCTTATCATATTTCTAACTTTTGTCTTTCTTGTTGTTACATTTGTGGCGTGCAAGGTGATAACGAAATGTTCCTACGGAGGAATCGGGAACCACCCCATTTTTAAATGGCCCCTAAGAGGGTTGAGGCTTATTGGAATTAAGAAATGGAGATTTTCCCTTGTAGGTTCTAACTTCTTGTCAAATTTCCATCTGCCATTGTACCGGACTGATGCATATTTAAGCTCTAAGTGGTTGCAGGTTTTTCAAATCAAAGGTTCGGTAGAGTTCGAAAATAACAGTTCTACAAGTTAACAGTAGTCCTGTATCGATCTAATGAAAATTTTCACTTCGGTTGTGCTCAATCTAACTCCTAAACACTTCAACCTTCAACAATCAGATTAAATGTCACCACTGCCCATTTAGATCCAGCATGTGATACCCAGAAACATGAATGGCAAGTTCCATGTTCATTATCTGGCTTTCATTATTGAAACATTTGAAAGAACTTCTACATTCCCACAGACAAATCGTGCACCAGCCATCCAACAGTCTCTCATGCACCCTCTCAATCATCCTCAATTCCCCCAATCCAAAATGGATCCGCCATAATTTAGAGTTAAACTTAATTACCACGTATTTGAGCAACTAATCATCCAAACTTATTTTTCCAAGAAATGATCAACCCACCATCCCAACAAATTTAAGCACCATGCTCTTCCCTCCACTTCAGAACACAAAATGAATTCATCTCCATCACTAATGAAATAATTCAACCACAAAATGCAAATAAGATCCACCTCGCCGAGTTCCAGAAATCATCTCAGAGTCGCAAAAAAATTGGGAAACAAACACAACAAAATCACCAAAACCCTACTGGAAAAATAATTAAAAAAAAAAAATCTCCCATCACAAAAATCAACGCACCGAAAGAGAAAAGAAAAGAGAAGGATCAAAACCTCGGCAATCGGGGAAGAGCTTGATGAACCACGAGTGAAGGCGGACTCCATCGGAAGATCGAAGCCAGACATCCTCATAAACAAGGCGAAGCCGAGACGGGTTAATCGCGTAAGATTTGGTAAGTCCGGGAAGAACCGGCACATAAACCAATCTCTCCTGGAAGGCAACCAGTAACGCCATTCCGGCGACCATCAAACCTCCGACACCATAGAGTAACGCACTCACATAAGAAACCATAACTCGATCTCCCCTTGCCGTTGGTTTTGCAGGTTTTTCCCTGGATTTGAAAATTCAAGTTCAGAGTCAGTTGATGAAGGGGAAATTCACAAGATTTAAGGGAGGAGAGAAGATGTAGGGCCTGAAAAGGAAATTCGGGTTTTGAAGTTGGGAGTTAAATTAAACCGGGTTGGTGGCTTGATTTGGCGTTGGGGTTACACAGTGTGAGCCTGTTCCTCGCACAGTGACATCGGCAGGCTGAGCTATGGCTATGGCGCTTAGCAGCGTGAGCTTTGGACCACACTCTACCAAAAAATGGAGTCTGATTGCGTGGTCGATGCTCCTTCTGAACTTTCTTTTTTCTTTTTTCTTTTTTCTTTTTTCTTTTTTTTCCTATCCCAACCAAAATGGCAAAAAAGTATTAAAAAAATAGTATAGAAATGATTAATATTTTATTTTTAAAATACTTTTTTATTTTAAAAAGTATTTAAAAAATATCATTTAATTTTTGGTAAGTATTTCACTCAAGGTTTTAAACTTTTTTTAAAACTTCGAAAATAATCTTACCCTAAGTATCATTATAAATTTTTTAAATTAACAAGGAGATAATTTTAGAGGAGTTAATTGAATAAATACTGAGTATTTTTTAACATTTTAATTGAAATTTTAAGAACATTTAAAAAAAAATATATATATATATATAAATAATTATAAATGAATTTTTGGATTTTTTTTAGACAAAATAAAATAAAAAGTTTTGAGATATTATTATTATTATTATTATTATTATTATTATTATTATTATTGGGACTAGATATATAAAGTAAAGTGTGACGGATAATAAAAATCAAATAATTGATTGTCTTTGATCACGCAACTCAGAATTTTCACCTTTTGATCTGTCTCAGACAACCAATAATAAAATTAAATAAATGAATGAAAATTTATACCTTTTTAAAATAACATTAAAAAAAAAAAAAAAAAAAATCGTGTGTAGAAAGTAGTTGGTCAATAAAGCAACGTACACCAAATACCAAGTTGAGAAATTACAAAATTAGACATTATATTTTTATTTTTACCAAAAAAACTTTTGAACAAAAATAAATAAATAAATAAGTCCGAGAAATCTTTAGTCAAATCAAAGTGAATAATTCTCTCAATCATTGCTAATCAAAATTTTAAATTATAATTTTAATAATTAACGTTTAAGTAAAAATGTCTAATTTAAACAAGTCAATTTTATGTTTAATATTTTAAAATTAATTGAACAAAAAAAAAAACTTAAATATTAAATACTTGAATATGGTTGAATGTAAAACATTAAATTAAGTTTTTTTTTCTTTTTTCCAACATATCTGTGAATTAAAAAATATATATATATTAGAAAAAAATTAGTTCACCCTATTGGACCTAAACTCAACGAGCTTTGAAGCCCATAGATTTTCACGGCCCATTTAGGCCCATGCAAAGGATCCAAAAACTAAAAAAACTGAAGATGGAGTGGGGCCCACAATTTCTACTCCCATTTGCTGACGTGTGGATTTGAGATATTTTCATATTGGAAGAAGAATTCTCTATTTTATATTCCAGTTAGCGTTAGCAATTCCGCGTAAAGGAAGTTTCTGAGGAGACCAGAGACGAAGGATTCTTGAAGCCACCATAGAACCAAAACGATTGATCAGCTTGGCTCTGAACTAGCGAGAATTTGATACATTCGTTTCCGCCGTCTCAATTCACAGTTTCTTTGTACAATCCGATCGTCCGCTATGAGTTTGTTCTTTGGCAAGCGCAAAACTCCGGCAGGTATGGTCTTCGATCAGGATTTTCTTCTTCTTTCCGATGAACTTTTCCGTTCTCTTTGCTTGTAATTTTTACTTTCTACTTCTTTCTGCCGGAAGTGTTTGAATTTGTTGCAATCAGTAGTTGAGGTGGTTAGTTTTGATTATTGTTGTTTGTATTTGAAGAGATGCTTTGTTAATGTTTGGATTTCGAGATTTGAGCTTCAATTTTCCCTGTATACTGGGGGGGGGGGGGGGGGGGGGGGGGGGGGGGGGGGGGGGGGGGGGGGGGGGGGGGGGGGGGGGGGGGGGGGGGGGGGGGGGGGGGGGGGGGGGGTGATTTCGATCGATAAGTTCAAAGGTGTTTACGACATCTCTTTGTGATCAGTGAGTAAACTGCATCATTTATTTTGTGTGGTTTATTTTTCTTTGTCTTCAACTCCATCAGGCTTCGATTGATTCCAAGGCATTGAAATTAATCAACCATTTTAGCTTACGGTTTGTGAACTCTTAGAATTAGCAATAAATGTACACCCTAGTTTAATGATACAAAGATTCGTTTTGGTGTTAATTTAACACAAGGAATGGTTGATATACCATACATTTGCCGTAGCAGTCGATCTTATAGCATCTGATATTGTGTATATTATTGTCGTCAATCCAGAACTCCTCCGGGAAAATAAGAGGATGCTGGACAAATCGATCAGAGAAATTGAAAGGGAGAGACAAGGCCTTCAAACACAAGAGAAGAAACTGATTGCAGAGATAAAGAAAAGTGCCAAGCAAGGGCAAATGGTGCATTTTCTTTAATTTTTTCTTCTTTTCTTTTAATAAAACACCATTCTCATTGAAATTCCTTATTTGTAATCACTGGGATTCTCAAGAACCTGGGGCTGTTGGTCCATATATCATGTGGAAGTTTCATGATTAAAATAAAAAAGGGGGGAAACCATTATAATACTCTACAATTGTTGTTTTTAGGATTAAAAATGTCACTTAGATACGGTGTGTTACTGTTGCAGGGAGCTGTAAAAGTGATGGCAAAAGATCTTGTTAGAACCAGGCACCAGATTGAAAAATTCTACAAGCTTAAATCACAACTTCAGGGCGTATCTCTTAGGATTCAGGTAGAATTTGTTTCCCCATTTGTGCAAGATCATTCTGTTCGTACGTACTGTACTAGAAACATCTTAAATTTTGTACAGCATTTTATATATTACGATTAGCAACTTTTATGATATCTTAATATTCTTGTTAAACCCAACTTTTTAGACTTTAAAATCAACTCAAGCAATGGGAGAAGCGATGAAAGGCGTGACGAAGGCAATGGGACAAATGAATAGGCAGATGAACTTGCCATCCCTGCAGAAGATTATGCAAGAATTTATGAAACAAAATGAAAAAATGGAACTGATGACTGAAGTGATGGAAGATGCAATGGATGATGCTTTGGAAGGGGATGAGGAGGAGGAAGAGACAGAAGAATTGGTCAGCCAAGTTCTTGATGAAATAGGAATAAACATGAATCAAGAGGTAGTTTTCTCTTCAATAAGCCTCAGTTTCTTTTGCTGGTGCAATGTATCAACCTCAATCCAAATGAATGACTAATCTAACCATTTTTCTGTTTGAACTATTTCCCCTCCTCAGCTCGTGAATGCCCCATCAACTGCTGTCGCTACCCCGGCAGCAAAGACAAAGATTGCACAAGCAGAAGCAACAGGGAACGACGACGGTGGGATAGATAGCGATCTTCAAGCCAGACTAGACAACTTAAGGAAAATGTAAATTCTAGACCTTCATTTCTTGTGTTATATTCAAATCGTCCATCCTACAGCAAGGAGAGACCATTTCTGCCACTGTCATATAATACTCGTTAAATTTATGCCATAATTTCCTAACCTTGTTTTGACCATATGAGAGAAGTGGGAATTTAAGCTTTTTTTACAATGGATCAGTGTTCATTACTAACATCCATGGACCCATTACCATGCATTGGTTTTCTTTTACAGGTTCACAACACTCTGTTAATTTATTTACGTAAGTCTCTTATATTCGATTTTATTTTAGATCTGTCCCTACATTTTCAAAGGTTTCAATTTATCTCTATTTATTTAGATTCTATCGTTTAGAATGTCTCTAGCATAGCCAGTAACGTCGATAGAGATGTTCTAGACAGGTTTAACCAAGTTATAGGACTAAATTGAATCTTAGTTACTGAATCGATTTGAAACTAGAAGAGAGACCAAAGTGTTTGGTATGGTTGTTTTTAGTTGGCCAGGGATCATCTTGATGCCCTAAATGAACTGTAAAGTGATGATAAATTATATGCATAATAGAGAGAGAATAGCCTTCTAATAATCGTAGGGCCTATAAAAGAAACACCACAGCTAAAATGCCTACAACTTTTATAATTCTTCATTATCCTCCTCATCCCTTGGGCCACACAATATCATCGAAGACAAGAGAATCAGAATTTTCCAAATTCAACCACCCATCTCAAAATTATAAACTAACAACCAATGTCTTAAACCAAGCTACTGGATTCCAACAGCCCATGCCCTGAATTCACCTGTTGCTCCGCCGCATCCTCCGCCGTGTGGCGTTGGCACAGCGCCGGTGCCATCGCCGGTGCACGGCAGAGGGGGCAATCGGAGTGAGAGTAAAGCCACATGTCTATACAAGGGGCGTGAAACATATGCGTGCATCTTGGCAGTTTCTTCACCTCTTCCCCATCCTCAAACGCCGATAAACAAACTGCACATTCATTCCCAATCCCTTCTTCCTCGATCGTCGCAGTCGCCTTCGCCGTCGACCCCTTCTTGAATTTGAAGCTCGACAACAAATTCCTATTAGAACTCTGGAAGCTACGGCTTGAATTCACCATCTCTGCATAACTTCCAGCCAGTGCCGGTGAAGCTTGCCCGTGGCTGTTGTCGGAGCACCACTTTATAATGATGAGATTGTAAAGAACCAACACAATCGTCGCCGTCCCGATGACCACAAGGCCATAATACAACATGGGTAAGCTGGATTTTGCAGGATGAGACGTTGGCTGAGCAATAAAGGTTGAAGCAGAATCACCCATTTATGGATTCAAAAGTGGGTCTGAAGTTCGAGGAAGCAGAAGACGAAAAGGATTTCACAGAAATCTATTTTATGGGTGTTATTGGGAAGGAGGAGGAGAATAGTAATCATGAGGGATTATATAAGTGTGTGTATATATGTATATATATATTGGTGGGTTTAATTCATGGAACCAGATAAACTGTAAACTCCAGAGCATGAAGACAAAACAGAGTACAATCAGAGGAGCGAGAAACAAAGATGGATGAAAAAGAAACAAAATTGTTGATAAGGAGGAACTCATGTTTTTTCTCTCCAATAATTAAAAAAAAATTAATAAATTAAATTGCTGAATGCAAAACTTTTGTTCTCAAAACGACAAGTGGTTGAGATTGAGAAGGGCTTGGGATGTAGAGGAATGATGTCGTTTTAATGGTGGAAAGGGAAAACAGAGGCGACGACGAAATGAGAAATTCGGAATTTCTTAGGGTTCGAAAGTTACTAACTTATGAAGAGATTGTGGCGTACGAAGTGGCTACTTGGTTCAATTGGCTAATCCTCATTTCTATTAAAAAAAAAAAAAAAATTCCATAACATTTTAAATTAAAAAATATTATAATTAATATATGGATAAAAAATATATATATAGACTTAAATTGTCTATTAACACTTCATAGATTATCTACCCACCCTATTCATAATGGTAAAAGATAAGTTTGAATTTCTTAATAAAATTTAAAGATATTTTAAAAGTTTTTAAAAAATATTTAAAAAGTTAAAAAGAACCATTTTAAACTTTTTAAACAAAACATTATTAACTTTTGAAAATAATTTTAAAGATTTTTTTTAGACAAAGTATGAAATTCAAGTGTATTTTTATTAATTTAACCTCTATTTTATGAAAATATAAATTTCTTTAAATCTAAAATAATTTAGATAACTATTACAATGGTATAACATTGTTACTCTGAGCATAAGCGGCTATGGCTTTTCTTTGGGCTACTCAAAATGCCTCGTACCAAATAATATTCTTGTATTATAAACGCATGATCATTCTTTAAATTATAGTCGATGTGGGACTTTTCTTTTGATCAAAAAAAAAAAAAACATGTAAAGGTCGATGATCGGTAAAGAATTATAAATTAATTTATAGTTTGAACCATAAGAATAACCAAATGAAATTGGATAACAATAACCAAACCATATTCACAATTTTGCTTACAAAAGTAATAAACTACCCAACCATTTAACACTTCCCCAAACCAATTACCTTCCATTTTTCCTCCTTATAAATTACAAACAAAATTCCTCCCCTCCTCATTCTCACATTCATTCTCTCTTCGTAAATCTCCACAAAGTTACTGCTACTCCATTTTACACGGTAAAAAAAAACTTACTGTCCTTTTTTTTCCCTTTTTTGTCTCCATTATTTCTCTTCCAATTTTTAATTATATGGTTTAGTTTTTGGATAATTCTTGGACCGGACAGCTGCCCGGCTGCCCCACGTGCCCGTCTTTCATTATTTAAATATTTAATTAAACCCGCGAAATGGGAATGGAAAATCTTTCGCATGTTCATCTCTGTGAAGTAGTAGCGCTGCCCTCTGTTTCACCATTTTTTTTTTTCTCATCTGTTTTCCACTGCATTTCCGCTTCTTCTTAGTTTTTTTTGTTCTCGTTTCTTGTTTGATCAAGTTTCGGATCTGAAAGTAATGAAAAATGGTCGCTCATATTGATTTGCTTTGGGGTTTCTCTGATATTTTCAAGGCTCGCTTCGAAACCGGTGCAAAGTTCGAATCAAAGAGCTTCTTGTTGCCAGGTTTGAGATCTCCTTCTCAATTTCTTCATGGCGTTCTGCCAACTGTATCTGTTTGGTTTGAATTTTGTAATGCTTTTGTTGCATATGAGGTTTTGATTTCGTTGGAAAATTGTTATGGCCTGAAATTGAACCTAGAATGTTAACGTTTGATTTTTTTTTTTTTTTTCATTTATTAAATAGAGTTTTGTGGTGGCATTGACTGTTATGTTAGTAAAAGATTAATTGAGAGGTGTGAAAGCAGAAAATGGCGGATAAGGAAGAAGCAAAACAAGTTGTTCTACAGATTTTGGATTGTGAAGATGGAGGAGTTGGTGCGAGTAAAGATCTCAGTAAAATCTCTGTTGCAAAATTTCCTGATTTTGAGCTAAAAGAAACTCGGAGTTTTAGGTGCACAATTCCGAAATCTGTGGTTGGGAGCTCTTCTTCACACGAGATTTCTAGAATGAATCCCTATAAACCTCCCAAAATTCCGGCGGAATCAGCAGTTCGGCGACCATCGTTTGCTCGTTCTTCGTTTTCAAAGCCGAAATCAAGGCTAGTTGAGCCACCTTGTCCTCATGGTGTGAATTTGGCAGAAGAAACGTTTGCAGAAAAATCAATATCTGGTTCACCATTCTGTAGCTCTACGAAGATGGACTCCCCAGCTAGAATAACTGCTGTGACTAGTCCTAGAGAAGCTTTGAAATCAGTCCCAACAACTCCTAGAACACCATTTACTGGAAATGAGGAGGAAGATGATGAAGAAGTTTACAGAACTGCAGAACTGAAAGTGAAAGAAAGATCAGGGAAGAAGTTGACAAAAACCATTTTAATTGAATGGTTTTCATTTTTGTGCTTGACGGGGTGTTTGATTGCTACCTTAACTGTAGACAAATTGGCAACGAAAGAGATCTGGGAATTAAGGTTGTGGAAATGGTGTGTTCTGGTATTAGTTATTTTCAGTGGTCGATTATTTTCGCGGTGGTTTATCAATTGTCTAGTTTTCTTGATTGAAAGAAACTTTCTACTTAAAAGAAAGGTTCTATATTTTGTCTACGGGCTGAGGAAGAGTGTTATAGTTTTTATTTGGCTGACTTTGGTTCTTCTAGCATGGGGTCTATTATTTGATCGAACCAGCAAGAGATCTAAGAAAGGCCATGCGATTCTGAATTATGTTACTCGAGCTCTTGGTGGTTCTCTCATTGGAGCAGCAATATGGCTGGTGAAAACTTTGCTGGTGAAGATCCTAGCTGCTTCTTTTCAATGCACTAGATTCTTCGATCGGATTCAAGAATCAATCTTCCATCAGTATATACTGCGCACCCTATCAGGACCTCCACTGATGGAGATGGCTAAGGGAATTGGGAGAACAGCAGGCACAGGGCAGTTGAGTTTCAGGCATTTGAAGAAAGTAAGGGACGGTGGGAAGGAAAGGAAGGAAGAGGTGATTGATGTAGATAAACTCAAAAAGATGAAGCAAGAAAAAATCTCTGCTTGGACCATGAGAGGGCTAATCCATGTTATAAGAAGTTCAGGGCTATCCACCATATCTAATACAATAGAGAATTTTAGAGAGGAAGAACTTGAACAAAAAGATAAGGAGATTCACAGTGAATGGGAAGCAAGAGCTGCAGCTTACCAAATTTTCAGGAATGTCGCAAAACCCGGTAGCAAGTGAGAACTTTACTGTCTGAAAGATCTCGTATTTCCAACTTCATGATAGTGAGAGAATTTTGTTATATCTAATGCTTTCTATATGCGCCTATGGTAGGTACATTGATGAAGATGATCTCTTTCGTTTTATGAGTAAGGAGGAAGTTGATAATATGCTGCCATTGTTTGAAGGAGCAGTTGAGACTGGGAAGATCAAGCGAAAAACCCTGAAGAATTGGCTGGTAAATCTTTACCATATTTCTTTTTCTTCACAATAACTTAGGCCTGGTCCTTAGAAATGTATTTTGGATGTTGCAGGTCAATGTTTACATCGAACGCAAGTCGCTAGCCCACTCGTTGAATGACACGAAGACTGCAATAGAGGAGCTAAGCAAGCTTGCTTCTGCAACTGTAGTGATTGTTATTATCGTTGAATGGTTACTTATGATGGGTTTGTTGACGACACAAATACTGGTCTTCTTTTCATCACAGCTTCTGCTGGTTGTCTTCATGTTCGGTAACACTGCCAGAACGGTATTTGAAGGCATCATATTCGTATTTGTGATGCACCCATTTGATGTCGGGGATCGTTGCGTTGTAGATGGTGTGCAGGTAACTTTCTTAACTCCAAACTCACATAGCACACACTCACCTGGTTTGATGATTTTATAACTTTCAGTTGATCGTTGAAGAAATGAACATTTTAACCACAATTTTCTTGAGATGTGACAATGAGAAGATCTTCTATCCGAACTCTGTTCTTGCCACAAAACCCATCAGTAACTTCTACAGAAGCCCGGAAATGGGCGATTCTATCGAATTTTCGGTCGACTTTTCCACATCAATCGAAAGCATTGGAGCTCTAAAAGCAAGAATAAAATCGTAAGTTCAATTCAGTTTCTCTAGTTCTAAGCCTCATTATTCCATCTGCTAAAACAACTGCCATTGAGTTTGCCATCTATTTAGTTCCTTATCATCATTTACTTGTGTATTGTTCAGATACATAGAAAGCAAACCTCAGTTCTGGCGCCCGAACCACAGTATCCTCGTGAAGGAGATCGAGAATGTCAACAAGATGAAAATGGGATTACATGTTAATCACACCATAAACTTTCAAAACTATGGCGACAAGAGCAGTCGCAGGTCGGAACTAGTCTTGGAGCTGAAGAAAGCTTTCGAGGATCTCGGCATCAAGTATCATCTCCTAGCTCAAGAAGTTCAGCTCAACTATGTGAGTTCAGCAGCTCTTATGGTTCCACCTTCCCAGAGATGAAGGTGATTCTTTCACTTAACTCATTTTCTAGCAAGTCTTTGTCATTGGCTTCAATGGAAACAAGAGGGCTTAGAAGAAGATGTAGTTTGTGATTTGAGCCAAGGAATTGTAAAAGATTCATAAATTGTTCTTAACAAGTTTTAAATTTTGTTTATGATATCATGAGAACTGACCATTGAAATGAAGAGACGAAATTTATTAATACTGTTTTTTTTTTTTCCTCTCTTTCTGTGATCATAATACATTTTTAATTTGATCAATTAGCCTCGAACTATGTTAAGAGTTTGCAATCAAGCTTTTACTTGGTCAAGTATTCCAATCAAGCAATTTTCTTGCTTTGCTCGGATCTCTCCTCCCCGAACATGCGAGTCACTCGTATAAATCCCAATTTAATGGTAATTTAGATTTCTTTCCAATTTTTGGTG